GAACAGTGAAGGGTTTTGTCAAAGAAGCCCAACAGGTTGCTAAAGAGTACGATGAAGCCATTCAGGTGGATAACTGAGAAAGTATTGAGCCGTTACTGTGTGTTTATTAGCTTCATTTACTGAGACCGCTTGTTTCCACCTTTTTTATAACAGTGGCCTTGGCGCGTACCTTCTTGAAGAAGAACTTCCGGATGTCTTCTAATACTCAGTTGGCAACGTTACGCCAAATCAGACCGTCAAAATTCGCATAACTTACGTGCCGGAGCTTAAGCAGGATTCTGATTCCGACCAAGTTCGCTTTGTTATTCCCACCGCTGCTATGGTGATCCGCGGAACAACTCGTCTCGAACGGGGACGAAAGTGATTAAGGGCAATCCGACGTATTCGAGCGAAATGCAATATACATTTGACGTGAATGTTACATGTCGTATGACAGCCGGTTTGTTGAGTGTCGCACACACGCACAAGATGTTAATTTGAATGGAGATTTAAAGACTTGCAGGGTTGGGCTGGCAGAAGATAAAACTCACTTGGAGAAGGATTTTGTGCTAGTTGTTAAGAGTAAGGATTTGGACAAATTTAGGTATGGATCAAGTATGTGAGGAATAGTCATAGGAATTGGGTGATGGTAATGACTAATGTTTACTAAATCGGTGTTTATGTATTTTCTTTGCCTTTTCTTGTATAGATTATTCACAGAATGCAATCCAAAGATCAATACGAACTGTACCATGCTGACCCTTGTTCCTACGTTTGAACTTGAATCGATGCAGACAGAAATGTGTTTTGTTGTCGACAGGTAAATCGTTTAGATGCTGTTTTCACGTTCTTTTGCGAGCTTGTGTACACAGCGTTTGATGGCAACTTTATTTATTCGCCAATATTGAATTTTATTTGTTCCAGATCCGGTTCGATGGGTGGTTCTCCGATAAATAAAGCTCGACAAACGCTCGAATTAATAATCCGCTCTTTGCCATCCAACTGTTTTTCAATGTTGTCTCATTTGGCTCGTCTTATTCCGCCTTGTTTGAAAAGTCTGTTCCTTATTCAGAATCTTCCTACGATACGGCCATTCAACATGCTTGGGGAATGGGGGCTAACTTTGGTGGTACTGAACTCTTGTCGGTCCTAAGATGGGTTTGGAAAATACGAGCAAAGAACTGCCGACTGCCGTATTTTCATTGACCGACGGCGAGGTCTGGAACGTGGATGAGATATTTAATTGATCACGAATAAAGTGAAGGAAGCCAAAGACGATTTGGGATTGTTTTCGTTGGGTATTGGTGTAATCCGTTGCGAGAGCCGGAAAGGGATACGCCCAGTTCGTCAGCAGTGAGACAAAAAGGGTACTGGGATAGTCAAGAACGCCATTCGACCGCCATTGGCTGATTACAACATTTCCTGGATCGAATAAAAGTAAGAACTAAGAGCTTATGTACTACTCAACTTGTACCAACGATGTAAATATTTATGACAGATTTCCTAAGACGTGTTCAAGATTTGAAAAACTGTTATACAGTATTTAATAAATATCTAATATCATGCTTCATAACATTTTACATACACGCGCTTATGTTTGATCTTCGATTGTCAACTCGGAATAAAATTTAGTTAACGTCTCAATCCAATTAATAATATGCTGGAAGTATTTCATACCCTCAATATTAATAGGATGGGTCATCTGTTATCTACAGTATGCCACACGTTATTATACACTCCGATGTTCCGATAATTTATCTACTCGGAAAAGTTTTATAGGAAAATGACAACCATAATATTTCTTCCTTAAATTTAGTTCGAATGAAAAATGTAAAAAGGCGAGCGCTGATTAGTAATCTTTATCTACGCGCAAAAATGAAGAAAAGATTTGTTCAATAAAAATTTCTTTAAACGTCAATTTAAATTTTCTTAATAATTATAATAATGACAGATATACAACGATACAAATGTATCAAAATCTCCGTAAATATATACCATTGTATTCATAATCTAGTTCGGTAATTAATCTGATCGACCTCGATAGCTATAAATGGCATGAAAAAGACAACGAAATCCAATTGCGTATTTCATACTTAGTCCTTTCGAGATTTGTCACCCGAAGAAGAAAAACAGCATATATGATTAAAAAGCCGTTATATTAACCATAAGTGGCTTTTAAAAACCGAGTCACATCCGTACAATTCCAGACATTATGCTTTGAATTTGAAAATTGAAAGAACGTAAAATGATTGATAAAAGTTAGAAAGTTAAAACAATTTGAATACATTATTACCAGTATTTAACAAAACATTTACCTAGCGAAGACCACATTTCTGAGTATGTCTTTATTATTTTGATTACGTCACAATAGAACTTATTTTCGATAATAAACAATCTGGATGGTGGATGACTTCTTCACAGCGGTGAAAGTATTTTTAGACGGACGGCTTTCTAAAGAATGTGTCAACACTACACACACTTTTGCTGTTAAGTTTCCATTGTCATATAATAAGGGTTTGTTGCGTTGCATGCGTCTTTAACCTAGCATAGCAAGTAAACAATCAGTTTACAGACCGGAATTTTTTCTTTATTATAGGTAAACTCTTGCAAAAAAATACGAGTTTTCACTTGCTCGTTAATTGTGTCAAACTTTTTCTCCAATTATACCATTATCCAATATTGTAGGCTTCTCTAGTAATAAATAAACGGATTTTGGTTAAATTTCGAGTGTAAAATTCACCACACGTATTCTAGCGGATAGAACGTAACCGAATGGGATGTGTTATTTAAATGTTACAAAGAGGTACAAATATAATAATTGTATACGAGACACACACACACGATAACTTTATAAGTAATTTGAAATTTAAATCATTATCATGTGCTGAACTTCATATCACAGATCGTGATAGCACACGCGACCCAAATTATTATTTCGGACGCTATAGTTATTATTACTATAATTTGATTTCTGTTAAGGATGAATTCATCGCTGGTCTTATGTCTATTCAAAGATGGAATGAGTATATATGAAGAAACAATTCTCCGCTCCATAAGATAAGCGGTAAGGCAATATTGAAATAGAATTCAAGCTGGCAATGTCTTTTGTAGAATCCGTTGCAGATCGACATGATTTCAACATGGAGTCCCCAAGCATAAATTTTAGGTATTTTGTTGCTCATTCTATATAGCAATAGTAATTATAATAGTAATATTAACAGTAATAAATATATGAGCAACCCCCACTTTTTGAATAATCTTTTTGACAATCTTTAATTATAAACAGGAAGATGGGCATCCAAATAGAGGTCAAAATTGTCCATAAAAAGTCAAGCAGTCCTAGAAATGAAATTAAGCCTTGCACACGGATTGTTTCATTATTATATTAATGTTAATAAAATATTTAATTTTTGTACCACTTACTGCATGATTTGCCTAAATGGCATCTTTAATAAAACGTGTTGTTGATGACCTCAAAATAAGTTACACAACCCCCGATTTTTTACGTTGCCGCATATGGGTCTTGCCAAAGAGCTTACTAATTCTCAAAAAAGTGCTATAATTGCAAGATGTCATCGCACAACAGTTCTACAACAGTAATTTGCAGCCCATAAATCAAAAAATTATCCGCAAATCGCTCGGCCGCGCATTCTCGACAAAATTAAAAACCGCTGTTACTGCAAACAAAAATCACGACAAAATTTGAGGAAAATTGCTAAAAAAGTTTCTAAAAGCTAAAAACCGACAAATTTCTATAAAAACAGTTCAATGTATACTTCATGAAGAAAATTTGCGTTCTTGCATTCCGTTAAAAAGCCTCTCATTTCAGAAAAAAATCGGAAATTTAATTTGAGTGGACAATAGAAAGAAGAAAGTGGATTGCTGCAGACTGGAAAAAAGTCACATGGGTCGGATGAATTGAGAACTGGGGAAAAAATATAATAAAAATTGCATCGCGTCAACGGTGAAACATTTACCTCCAAAAATGTTTCGGACATGCCTTTCTTATTTAAAAACTGGGTCCTATTGTTTCTATTCAAGGTTCTATAACTGGTGAAGTACAGTATATAAAGGTATACTTGAACAATATGCCAATCCCACACTCAAAGTAATTGCCCGCCAAGGCAAAGAAACTTTATTTTCCAGGAGGACAATGCTCTTGTACACACCGTAAAGATTGCACGAAACTTTTTCCTTTCCCAAAACGTAGAGGTGCTTAAGTGGCCGCCTCAAAGTTCTGACCTCAACCCGATTAAGCACCTTTGGGCTGCAGTTGAGGTGGCGCTGCAAAAACGCAATCCTCAGCCTTCAAACTTTCGCAAACTTGAGAAGGCAGTAAAAAAACTGTGGAATGCGCTTCCACAAAAGTGTATATCGTGATTTAATATTATCTATGTCCAATCGGATTCAAGCTGTGATTGATGCAAATAAAGAAATATTAAACGTTGATGCTTACTTTAAGTGAATAAAATTTCCTTTGGTTTTAATAGAAAACTTTTTCAATATTTTAAATATAAAGTGTGTAATAGTTTTACCACTCCTGCCCATTTGCAGTGGACAAACATATGTTTGTGGCACTACCGACAAGCAAACATGTTTAAAAGCATGCCAATTAAATTTGTTTGAAAGGCACCACACTAATATTGCAAGAAAGCACTGTTTTTTAGCATGCTCTCTATAGCAGAATAACTTCTCTCAAAGTTGATCGGAGAATTGTTCTTAATTCGGCAAGATTCTTTTGATCGCATGCATGTCATACGTAGGACTCAACCAATATTGGCCGTGTGTAACAGAGTCAATAATAGAAATCGCTAACAAGTCTCGATCCACAGTATCAAAACAAGGTTAGTCACATGCATACTTGATTGTGTCTGTATTAAGCAATACCGGTTATATCAGCGATTTGTTAGTGTTTTGTTGTGCATCATGATCCGTTGAATAAATAAGACCGATGCAATGCAATAAATCGTATATATATATATATATATAACCTTTGGACGAGAAGCATTCCATATATCAACATGGGTGCGCTTTACAACATTCTCAGTAACATTACATTTAACAATATCTTGATCGGATTGTTATCTCTAACATGCATATATTTAATACATTTCTATTATAAACACTTTACCCGTGTTAATCCAATTCCTGGTCCAATTCCAATTCCATTAATTGGCAATCTCGCGGTTTTCACAAGTGACATTGACGCCTGGTTTTGGAGATTAAACAAAAAGTACGGACACCATGGTATATTCGAAGTGAATATTGCTGGCCATAGGCAAATCGTAATCACTCGCGCGGAATATCTCGAGACTCTCATGACTGCTGATAATAGGGCACATTTTATGAGATCCCCACAAAGCGGTTTGTTTGGTTTATTCGATTTCGAAAAAAAAGGTTTAGCGCTGAATGACGATTACAATTATTGGAAATTCAATCGCTATATCTTTACCCATGCCATTACGGTATTGACTCAAACGGATAAACCGAGCATTTTGTTAAACCAATTATTTGAGGAAATGGAACAATATTGGATTGATTTAAAACAACCAGGCGAGAGGGAAGCCGTTATCGATATCGCAGCTTGGATGCGTCATCTTACCATGGATGGTATCGCCATGTTGACAGCCGGAAAGCAACTGTCTGCCATGAAGAATTATTATCAGAAATTAAAGAATGAACCCCTCACTAAAGAGATGTTCGATACTGAAGAGTTTGTCAAATGCATGAATACCTTTGTAATGGACAATAAACTTCTGTTTGTACCGAAAATTTTACGAAACTTTCCTCTCATTAAACCGCGTGTGGACGAACTATTGAAAAATTGTAACCGACTTTACGAAAAACTGGTGAATGTTGTTAAAGAAAAAAGAAAAGAAGTTGAAAAGACAATCATGCATGGCGAACTTAACACGGAAGAGATGAATTTGTTGACATCCTTGATCATTGCCAATACAGAACATGATCCTCATCCGCAAAAAAATGTTGATCCATCATTAGCAAGACCAATGACTGATGATGAGATTCGTGGTGTCATGTTTGATGCGTTTGCTGCCGGTACGGATACGGTGAGTAGCAAAATTAATACAATGCAAAAATTATGTACTTTTCTAAATTTAATTTGTTATTAAATATTTTTTTTATTTAGTCGGTAAATACTTTTTGCTACGCATTATATTACATCTCACACCATCCAGAAGTTAAAAAGAAATTGTTGGAAGAACTTGAATGGTGTTTAAAGATGACCCATACAGACCGATAACATCAGAAGATCTTGCAAAATTAAAATACGTGGAAGCGATTATTAAAGAAACGTCAAGGATTAGACCTGTGGTTATTGTGCTTTCAAGATACAGCGAACGACCTGACAAAGTAGCCGGATACATGTGGCCGTCCAAAACATATTTTATAATGTACGTTCGTGGAATCAGCAACAGTCCACTTTATTGGAAAGACCCTGATAAATTTATCCCGGAAAGGTTTTATGGAAATCAGGAAATATATAAAAATTCGTTTTCAATGTTTGGTGGAGGTCCGAGAATATGTCCAGGCAATAAATTTGCAATGATCGAATTAAAAACGTTATTAGCCGCAGTTTATAGAAGATTTGATGTCGAATTGCTAGATATTCACGCACCCCTGAATTTAAGAACCTCAATGATCACAGTTTGTGAAGAGTTAAATATTAGAGTTATTCCTAAAGAAAGAATTGTCTGATTAATTGTTTTTTTGTTTGTTTGTTTTTTATTATTAATTTGATATTAATAATAATGATATTATTATTATTGTTTTAGTTTAATCGTTATTCAATAACATTAGCTAAAATTTCTAACCTTTTCTGCAAGTTATTCGATTCACATCCGTCACTCTTTGTGGTCAACAAATAAAATTGAACCCCATCGCTTACATTAAAATTGAGATATCTCATCGTACGTCTAACCTAATTTCAAGCACTTTTTTTTTCTCGAGCAAATAAAGACTGTAGTTTTCGAAAATAATAAAGTTACTTTTTAGCTTTACTTACTATATTTTATAAAAATGCCTAAGTCCCGTGAACTCTCTGGTTTTGAACGTGGAATGATCATCGGACTTCACAAGGACAAGCACAACGCGACAGATATTCGGAATACCCAGAACTACTTGGCTCACGAAAACTCTTCCTCGTTCAGGAGACCACCTCTTTTGGCTGAGCGTGATGAGCAAGCTCTTGTACGAGTAACCAAAAATTGTAGAAAAGAATCACTTGGAAAAGATTACTGAGTCATTCAACAACCATATTCAACAGCCCAGGCCTTACCCAGATTAGTACTAGTAGTGTTAGACGTGTACTTCATAACCATAATTTTTGGCAGCATTGGAAAGAGCAACTCTTCGTTTCTGAGAATAATAGAATAAAACGCTTAAGATGGTGTCGCGAGCGTAGAGATTGGGATAAACAATGGGATACAATCATTGGAGCCATGAATCTCAGTTTCTTTTATTCGAAACGATGGTCAGCAATGGGTTTGGCGTAGACTCCATGAGAAATATAATGTGGACTGTCCAGTGCCTACTGTATAGAGTAACAGGAAAAAATCGACTTGACCCATTGGTAGTGTTAGAAGAAAATACGGTTTACAGACCATGTTTATAAAAAACCTTTATAGAAGATTATTTAGTCCTTTTATTGAAAGCCTAGATAATGACAAAACTTATGTCTTTCAAGGCGATAATGCTCCGGTTCATAGATTATTACTTATCTGGAAAGCGGAAAATCCGACTTCCATGGCCTGCTCAGAGCCGGGATCTCAATCCAATTGAAGAAAATTGCATAAACATAAACTCGTACCAAAAAATTAGCTCAGTTTTGGAGAATGGTTGAAAATTGAGAAAAACGTTTTAGACAACATTTAAGTAAATAACATGCCTCGAAGAGTTAATGCTGTAATTGATAGTGAAGAAAATTCCACTCCGCATTAATGTTATAAATAAAAAGTTCATAATTAGGTTTGCAAATCTAAATTTATTGAAAGTTGTTAATACAGTTTCCAGAAAACTTGACTTAAAAATTCTCGAAGAAATGTAGATCATCAAAAGTGAAGGATACTTTTGGTAGGGAGGTGTATTTAGACATTTTCATAGTGTTTGGTTAGTTGTTTATGCCTTTTTTGTTAATGATCGATTGCAAACCGGGTCGGTTTATATACACTGTCCTTATCCTGCCAAAATTTTAGGATCACCCATACTGATAATCTAAAAAACAACAAATTTAAATATTAATATGCAGTTAATATTAATTGATTACTGTATCCGAATAAGTACCCAAATTAAATTTACGCAAGCTGCTATGTTACCATAATTTTAAATAATAAATAACAACCATATATCATATACTAATATTAATATCTGATCCTGGTCTTTCTCAATTGGCAAGGTTTTATCCCCACAGAAGAGACCATTAGGAGCGGATGCCTGCCTAAATATATTGCCGTTTTTCTTTTGTGGTTTCAATTCACTTTTTTCGTCCTCTTTCTTTTCATTTTCATTCACTCTTTCTCTCTCCTATATTTTTACCTTGTTATCTTGCCACTCTTTTTCCCGAATATGACGAATATAGTTAAATATGCAGTATAAATGAAAATCACTCCCCGAACCTCGGTCACTTGTTGAGATCTGCCGAGAAAAGATAATAAAGGATGAAACACCTCAAAAGATGGATCCTCCACATACATCGGATTTGTTTCCGGAAGGCAACGGTCTGAAAATGAGATTAAAGGTGAAGCTGGGAATTGCAGAATATTGTCTTGCAGATCTTGGCGCTATCAATGGATTGGCCAACAATAATGCGTTGCGTGCTCCAAAAACAACCTTTTTATATAAATTAAGAAAATTTCTTCACCAACAAGACTTTGTTGATATTGAAACCCCAATTTTAGCTCAAAGTTTACCCTTTGCCAATTTGGCGTGGCTGGGCTACGAGCCCGGACGATTTCGAAGTCATCAAATTAGATTTACATAACCACATGCAAAATTTGTCCATCACAGATGGTTGAGCTGTTTGGGATTCAAGAACAATTTATCACCAAATGCTTGCATCCAGGAGACCTGCGTAATTTAGATCTCTTAAACTTCTGGAGTTGAGAGAACTCTCTGACAGATTTACAAAGTCGGTATTACAGCAACAATTGTTAGAGAGACTTCCATTCACATCAACGAAATTCAACCATTCAACCATTCAAAGTGTTTTAACCATTTATTGCACCAGAAATCTTCCATACATGTAAATTTACTTAAAATTATATGTGTATTCATTTTGGTATCATCATATTATTTGATTGCTACTGGTAAACCAACTTTTAGAGATAGGGTTGATAGAGATTTAGTATTAGTATGGGTAGATTATGGCCATTCATGCCTGATTCTACATCAGGAAACTTGATGAGCAGTGTTGTGATGCTGATTCTGATAAACATGCAGCTTATTGAAAATGTGTCCAATGACAATACATGTAATGTCATTATCATAGTGATGTAAACCCTTTTCTCACATCTGAAAAAGAGAGTAATAGTAAATTCTCTAGCAAGCCCCTTACACCTGTGAACAGACGATTTCGCTGTTTACTACGAAATTATTTAATTGGTCAAAATTCCCACCCCGAGTATTTGGATTGGGTGGGTGACAAGTTGGTGAAACGCATGTATTTTATGACTCATTTGTATAACTTAGATTTCGAACACCAACTTGATTATTTGATCATAAACAGTGATAATTCGCGAGTAGATGTCTGAAATACAGAAGTGACGAGTTCGAATAATGATATAAATTTCACTATATAAACGACTCTCCTCCAGGCGAAAAAGTAAGTTGGTTACTGCTGAAAGGTATAACTGAAAGCGAAACTACTTCCCTGGGTGGCTTTATTTCTTGTAATAAAATATTATACTCGTTATTTATTATTGGAATTGTTGAAATTATTATCGATCGTATTATTGTTATTATTGTCCTTGTTCTTTATTTCCGATGCCGATACTTTGATGTGAGGATAAACTCAAGTGACTAACAAGCAAGTTGCCCTTGGCGTAATCTCTTGTCGACTAATAAGCTGGACATCAGAAGTATTCGACTATCATTATTATACTCTGAATTGACACTTTGATGTACTGTAAGCTCTTCGCCGATTAATAAGCAAGTTGCCCTAGGCGTAATCTCTTGACGACTAACAAGGGAAGCATGAGAAGTATTTAGTTTAGAAGACTGCGATTATAAGACCTTATGTTTAGTACAAGAAAGGCGTTCGTAGTATAGACATGTATAACACCGTGAGTTCAATCTACTCGTTAGAAGGTTGATACTCGTTCGATCAAATTATTATGAGTTTATTATTGTTGCGAAGCTATTTGATTTATTGTTATTTTGTTTAAGTTAAAATATTATTTTGTTAATGAGGGGAACCTATGCCAAAATGTTAGTAGAATATCAGAGCCATAGAGTGTGATAGAGACACGAAGCAAAATGTGGATTCTCTTGGTGAAAATCCAACAGGAACATTACAGTGGAAAGAGAAATTTTGATGTGGCGGCAGAAATAACTTTCACGAACGAAATAATATTTACGATATAATATCTAACGAATATTAATATTTTATGTGAGAACGGCATTTCTTTGTCCGTTAGTATACAGGCATAGTTTGTACCTCACCTTCGGTGATATATTATTCGTCTTCGTATGATGAAACGGCGACGTTATTATTAAATACATATTAACGAATTAATGGGCCATTAAGAGTAGCGATTAAATTAGAAACGTTGTAATTATTATTATTATCTAATAGTATAGTTATATATTTATAAGTATTACGAATTGTATAGAAAGTCTGATGGAGAATATATCCTTGCCTCAGATGTGAACCCATTGTGAGTCTGCTACAAGTGTACTACGAAACACAGATCATAATAGTCAATAAAATCATTCGTCTAGAAAAGAAATATTCTCCAAAATGGATAATTAATATCTATGCGCGATATTAATATTAGATAATAGAGATCTGAATAATGTAATAAAGTTGGCTAAGTCGGTGGTCTTATCACTAAGCATCGACACTATTGTCACGGTGAGGGGACGCAGCCGCCTCGCGAAGAAAACCGGTGACACACCTAAATTGAAAAATAATTTAGACTCAACTGCAGGTATGACTTGGCCATCCATTGTCATATAATTTAGTGATAGTAGTAGATTTCAGTTTTAAAAGAATTACACTCAAGAATAAAAAGTGCTCAACTTTAAACAAACGTTAACATTGCCCATTAGCAAATAGTTTTGCTTATAGTTTATAACTGTGAAATGGTAGACTGTAACAAAATAAACAGTTTATAATCACAACTACTGTAATAATATTAATATTGCTATCAAAAAAAACTTTATGTCAAATTCTAGTTAGAACTTCAATTGATTGCTTATGCGATTAAGCACAATACTAGTATAATGTTAACTGATATATCCCATCTTTATTGTTATAAAATTGTTTAAGTTACTTAATATTAATATAAATTCATAACTAGTGTTTGGCAAACACAATTGTTATCCAATTTACAACCCTTGTAATTTGTGTCAATATCAAATGCTCTGTAACAAACCTACTTCTTATCATCTATACAATTTCCTTATTTTTTTCCTTTACTATTACTATTACCGCTGGCCCATATTCATAAAAAATATACGCCTTACTTTTTGCTTTATTATATAATTCAGGTGCCTTTTAAATATTTACTTCTACACCAACTCCATTTTCATAATACAGGCCAAGCATATATTGCGCATAAAATTTCCCTTTTTAGCTGCTTGTTGACACAAGTCAATTATAGAATTATAGTTGTTTTAATTTCTGCTATTCTTATTCTGCTATAATGTCTACCATTTTGAACTTGTATTGACATATGTGCTTGTTTTACTGCATTCTGATACAACACAACTACCTTTTGTTTATCTTTTTCTACACCAATTCCATCTTCATAACATAATCAAGATAATATTGTGCACCAGCATGTCCTTGTTCAGCTGCCTTTCCATACCATTCAACTGCCTTTTGTTCATCTTTTTCTACTCCAGTTCCATCTATATAACATAAACCAAGATTATATTGAGCACTGGCATTTCCTTGTTCAGCTGCTTTTTTATACCATTCAACTGCCTTTTGTTCATCTTTTTCTACTCCAATTCCATTATCATAACACACACCAAGATTATATTGGGCAATGGCATATCCTTGTTTAGCCACTTTTTTAGACCATTCAACTACCTTTTGTTCATTTATTTCTACTCCAATTCCATCTTCATAACATAAAGCAAGATTATATTGAGAGCTGTCATCACCTTCTTCAGCTGCTTTTTCATACCATTCAACTACCTTTTTATTTTGTTCATCTTTTTCTACTCTAGTTCCATTATAATAACATAAAACAAGATAATATTGAGCAATGGCATTTCCTTGTTCAGCTGCTTTTTTATACCATTCAACTGCCTTTTGTTCATTTATTTCTACTCCAATTCCATTATCATAACACACACCAAGATTACATTGAGCATTGGCATCTCCTTGTTCAGCTGCTTTTTTATACAATTCAACTGCCTTTTGTTCATGTTTTTCTACTCCAATTCCATGTCTATAACATAAACCAAGATTAACTTGAGCACTGGCATATCCTTGTTCAGCAGCTTTTTTGTACCATTTAACTGCTTTTTGTTCATCTTTTTCTATTCCAGTTCCATCTTCATAACATATAGCAAGATTATGTTGAGCACTGGCATCTCCTTGTTCAGCTGCTTTTTTATACCATTCAACTGCCTTTTGTTCATCTTTTTCTACTCCAGTTCCATGTCTATAACATAAACCAAGATTAACTTGAGCACTGGCATCTCCTTGTTCAGCAGCTCTTTTATACCATTCAACTGCCTTTTGTTCATCTTTTTCTACTCCAGTTCCATCTTCATAACATATACCAAGATTATATTGACCACTGGCATCTCCTTGTTCAGCTGCTTTTTTATACCATTCAAATGCCTTTTGTTCATCTTTTTCTACTCCAGTTCCATCCATATAACATAAACCAAGAATAAATTGAGCACTGGCATATCCTTGTTCAGCTGCTTTTTTATACCATTCAACTGCTTTTTGTTCATCTTTTTCTACTCCAGTTCCATCTTCATAACATATAGCAAGATTATATTGAGCACTAGCATGTCCTTGTTCTGCTGCTTTTTTATACCATTCAACTGCCTTTTGTTCATCTTTTTCTACTCCAGTTCCATGTCTATAACATAAACTTGAGCACTGGCATCTCCTTGTTCAGCTGCTCTTTTATACCATTCAACTGCCTTTTGTTCATCTTTTTCTACTCCAGTTCCATCTTCATAACATATAGCAAGATTATATTGACCACTAGCATGTCCTTGTTCAGCAGCTTTTTTATACCAATCAACTGCCTTCTGTTTATCTTTTTCTACTCCAGTTCCACTTTCATAATAATAAAACCAGCCAAGCCTAATTTGTGCATTAGCATTTCCTTGATCAGCAGCTTTTTTATACCATTCAACTGCCTTTTGTTCATCTTTTTCTACTCCAGTTCCATCATAATAATGATAAGCAAGATTAACCTGAGCACTGGTATTTCCTTGTTCAGCCGCTTTTTTATACCATTTAACTGCCGTTTGTTCATTTATTTCTACTCCAGTTTCATTTTCATAACATAATGCAAGATTATATTGAGCATTGGCATGCTCTTGTTTAGCTGCTTTTTTATACCATTCAACTGCCTTTTGTTCATCTTTTTCTACTCCACAACATATAGCAAAATTATATTGAGCACTGGCATGTCCTTGTTCAGCTGCTTTTTTATACCATTCAACTTCCTTTTGTTCATCTTTTTCTACTCCAGTTCCATGTCTATAACATAAACCAAGATTAACTTGAGCACTGGCATATCCTTGTTCGGCAGCTTTTTTATACCATTCAACTGCCTTTTGTTCATCTTTTTCTACTCCAATTCCATTATCATAACATATAGCGAGATTAAATTGAGCATAGGCAGCTCCTCGTTCAGCTGCTTTTTTATACCATTCAACTTCCTTTTGTTCATCTTTTTCTA